CCATACCACAACACACCGGCTTCTCAGCCGTGACTGTTTGCAATTTTTATTGAACCACTAGCAGCAACAGCAATTAGACGGGCCATAGTGATTAAGGGCATAAAATGCAAGAATGTAGAACATAAAATCAGTGTTTATGCTGATGATGTGTTGCTTTTTCTCCAGCATTCACAAACCACTCTCTCTGAGATAATTACATTAATAAACTCTTTCTCAAGCATTTCAGATTATTTGATAAACCAGTTAAAATCTACAGTTCTTGCGATTAATTGCTCCTTTCATAATCCTTCTTCACCCCACAGCAATCTGGAAATATTAAATATTTAGCTTTAATGTTTCTACTAGGTTTGCAGATTTAACTAAATTAAACTACATCCCACTTTTAAAGAAAGTAGAAGATGATCTAGATGGAAGTCTCTATCCATATCACTCATGGGAATGGTTGCTTCAAAAAAAAAAAATTATGATCTTGCCAAGATTCAATTATTTATTCTCAATGATCCAGAGGCCACATCAGAATTTCCTTCAGTTCACTTACCAGCCCCACTTCAGAGCTGAGGATGCCATTATCTACCTGCTCATTTGTGTCTATGCCCATCTGGGCCAGCCGGCGAGCACGGTGACGGTCATTTCGACTTTTCCAGTGTATTCAGTATCACTAGGCTGACCTTCCTGGGTGATAAGCTGATAGCAACACAGGTGGATGCCTCTTCTGTGTCCTGGATTGTTGATTACCCAACAGGAAGATCCCAATATGTGCGTCTTCAACATTGTGTGTCTGATAAGGTGATCAACAACACAGGGGTACCACAAGAGAGCGTCCTCTCCCCCTTCCTCTTCAACACAGACTTCAGCCACTGCACAAAGACTTGCCATCTTCAGATGTGTTCTGATGACTCTGCGGTGGTTGGATGCGTCAGTGAGGGTGATGAGACAGCGAACCAGTCTAACAAAGACCAAAGAATTGATATTGGCCTTTAAGAGGACCAGGAAACCAGTGACCCTGTATTTCAACTGAGGGGGTTGATGTGGACATTGTGGAGGGCTATAAATACCTCGAGTACACATTGATAACAAACTGGACTGGATTAAAAACACCACTGCACTCTACAGTCATCTCTATTCTCTGAATCAGCTGAAGTCTCTTAACATCTGTTGGACAATGCTCAGGATTTTCTATGAGTCTTGCATGTTGGGACAGCAGTTTGAGGGCTGCAATCAACAGACTCAATAAACTGATCTACAAGGCCAATGCTGTGGGGGTGGAGCTGGACTCCCTTACAGTGGTTTTGGAGAGGCGGATGTTGTTCAAGATAAGGACAATGCTGGACAATACCTCCCACCTACTCCATGACGTGCTGGCCAGTCACAGGAGCATGTTCAGTTGGAGACTGAGATTACTCTAATGCACCAATGGGTAACACACAAATAAAATGTCAATCATATATACTCTATTTAATGTCTGTAATAGTGTGGATATTTATAATCGAGCTATTTGTATATATGTATTCTGATTCCTATTATGGTGAGGGGCTGTTTTTCTGATCAGTCTCCTGTCAGTCCAGAGAAGTTACTGACGGACTTCACGGCCACTCAGCTTAAGAACCCTGCAGACACTGTCAACCAAATAACTTTTCACCACATCCACTATCTTGATGCTGCTAAAAAAGGATGCTAACAAACCAATACCTATAATTGCTCATTTTGAATATTACAAGAACAAGAACTAGTGAAAAACAAAACAAGGAACTAAAAGGAACACACTAAGGTATAAATGATAAATTCCCGCCCGAAATTCTGTTCCTCATAGGAAAGAAGTTATCTACGTTGAAAAACTCTGTACTGATAAGTTTCCTGGGACAAAGAAATAACTCCTTGGCTGTAATAATGAAAAAATGAAACATGTAATTAAAAATGCTATAGGTACCATGCTACATTTTATACAATGAGAACAGCACACTCACCTCAGCACCTCATTTCTTACTGTCAAGCTGCTATAAATAAATAAATAACACTAGCTTAATGTTAGTGTTACCACAATGGGAGCAAGTCAATGTGAAGAATCAACTTTGATAATGCTCTCATGACTTATGAGTTAAGTTCAAATTCAAAAGCTCACCTGTCCTTCATTTGGTAATTAATTAAAATAATTAAGCTTGTGTAGCTCTGAACAAGCTGAACATAAGTGTGAAAAATTGGCATAAACCACACGGAGAGGAGAAGGACGTTTTTCCCTTGGACTCTGGAGACAAGGGAATCTGCCAGTGTCGTGAAAAAACAAGCAGTGCCCACCCGTGCAGGAACTGGTCGACCTGGGCATCAAACTGTGACCTCATTCACCTTACAGTAGTCAACACAGAATTGTATAGACCTGAAATCTTCACTACAAGAACTATGGGGCTTGTTGTGTTCAATTTCTTCAAAGGAAGTAGAGGAGAAATATCCTCTGTTTAAAAAGATTTAATTTGCTTCAGCAGTTGGAATTACAAGTTTACAGTGCTGGACCTCTCTGTGAACACAGTCATCTGTCTTCACTGAAAAGACGACCCTGAATTTGCCCGTACAGTTTTATACCCCAACAAAAACATTATTATGATAATTATCTTCTTCTGGAACCAGCTCCTGATGTCTCCCTTCGAGTCCCCTGCTCCGCTCACGTCTGACCTCGTATCTGCTCCTTTTCCTGGAATGATAGAGACAAATACACCTCCCTGTCCAGCCTTGATTATTTAATATTAACCTACTTCTGATTCCATTTATCTAGTTCGGGACATTCTGTTCAGACTCCCTTTGCCCAGAAAATGTCCTTCTAACCATTATCTGGTGTGATGTGTAAGCATGCAGCAAAAAAGACCCTCTGCACTTCTACGTCAATTCTCAATATTTCAGTCCAGTCAATACCACTGAACGACATTTTTGACTGTCAAAACACAGAGCGCCAACTCGTTTATAAGCACATTGCGTTGTGTATATAAAATCATAAAAAACTGCATAATTTAATCATTTTAAATCCTAACAGGCTACACCACGCACTGTGCAACTCTTTTATTACCCACATCTTTAGCAGTTCCACCAGTTCATTCGAAACAACAGGTAACTGACAGGACTGTGAATGCAACAACCATAGCAAGGTGCATTTCAAAATGGTGCTCTTTGAGCGAGGTATTACCAGGCAGGAGGGAGAACTCATCTGCAAAACGATGTTGCAATACAGCAGCATCTACTCTCTGGGCTTGTGTGAAATGGTCATCACAACAGAGGAAGATGGGAATGGTGGAATTTAGGAACTCCAGCCCCAACTCATCTCTTTCCTTCACCAGGCTCACGAGAAAAACTGTTTCAGCCTTTCTCCATGCTTTAAGGAGAGTAGGACCATTTCATAGTCAACATCTCCCACTTGCCGTGTGACCACGAAAGGTCCTTGCCACTTGGCAAGTAGAAGAATGGATAATACAAGCACTTTGTCTCTTGGTGAAAATTATCTGAGCCTTACCCCTCTGCTGTACAGGCACTGCTGGAGTTCTTGGGCCTGTAGTAAATTTTATCGTGATAACCTCCACAACGTGTGTAGCTTTGCTCTCGGGTCCAGAATGTACTGAATTTCTTTTTTAGCTGGGCTTGGACCTTCCTCCCAGTTTTCTTTAATCAGGTCCAACACACCTCTGCAGCTTCCTGCTGAACAGTAACTCAAAGCTAGTCAGCTATTATCTCTTCATGGGATGCCCACTTGAATCAGTGCCAGCTCCACACTCATGGCAGAAATGGTGCACAGTAGCACTGCTTCAGACCGAGTCAAGACCAAGACAAAGTCAAGACGAGACCAAGATTGAGACCGAGACAAAAAAGTATTTAAACTGCAGCCAGATGCTGCTTCGGGTGTCAGGCATATTTATGTGTTTTTGCACTCGCACAGCCCTCCTCAGCCCTGTCTACTGTCTCACTCACTTACTGAGAGGACAGACACACGCTCCTCTTGACTGTCGCGTCTCTCACCCTCTCTGTTTTTCACATAATGATATTATCCTATATCCTCGCATGTGATTGGCCACAATATGGAGGGATTGGAGCATAGCTGAGCCACTGTGTGAGAGCTGAGCAGCGAAAGGAAATTAAGTGAGGAGCCGGATCTTGCTCAATGGGAGTCGACTCTTCTCTAAACACGGCTCTTAGAGCGCATGACACATTATCGAACGTTACGTTGTGTGTCACGGATACTGTTGACTCCAAATCTCCCGACCACTATGTCGATCTGAGATAGCAAGACCGAGACAGCGAGACCAAGACAAGACCAAGACCACATAAAAGTGGTCTTGGTCTTGGTCATTAACAATATTGGTCTCGAGACATCCAACTCTAAAAGTGATATCCCGCTGCACTCTGGTGAAATGGCCCAATGAGGCCCATGGCAATGTGCTTAAACGGGACCTCGATTAAAAGTAGTGGGAACAAAGGCACGTTTGAAATACCTGGCTGGTTCACCAGCTGACGCTCCAGGCAGGACCACACCACTGATGCAGATCCTCTGGTCAATTATTGGCTGGGCGTAACTGGGCCATTATTCACTCCTGAGTTTTGTCATATCCTGTATGCCGTGCCACAGGGTTATTTGGCACCAACAACTGTTGTGTTATTTTATTGTGTGAGTGTCAAGACTTACTTGCTACAGGTTGTCTCTAACCATTACTAAATGAGTGTAGGTCAGAGCTACGTCATTGCGCACTATTTGACCTTCAATTTTCAAGTCAAAGGCTGAGCATAGAGAGTCGTCATGAGACTAAGAAATCTCCTGTGGCGTCAGTAATTCTCAGGAAGGCCCCAGTGTCACCACTTAACACCGTGCAGACACTACATAGGTAAAACTCTGAATTTAGATTTTTTAACATACATCAAAGAGGTGTAGGCATGTTTGTTACAAACTAATTGTAGCTAAAATGTAAGTGATAAACAGTGTAATTGACTGTTAGAAGGAAATAAATTCAAATTATTCAGTGAGTCTAGTGCCATTTATTTTATTTCACTCCATTCTCTGAAAACACATAATAGTATATTCTGGTGATAATATAGAGTTGTTTTATACAAAAGTACCAATTCTGTAGATCCACCTATAGTCAGCACACAACTACTGGCTTTAAGAGGATATAAAATTTTGTTTACACAAGAGGAGAAAGATCTGATATTGAGGGTCAGTCAGTCAGTCAGATGGTACCAGAACAAATCTACCAACCTACCAGTGTGCTAGGAGCTACACAATTGTAACATTTAGGAGCTACAATACATTTATGGCAGTTGGAGTCCAGAGAAGAGTTGAAACACAACAATTATAACAGAGAAGCAAAAGCCTTAGGGATTGGCCAGTTCATCTGATGTGACAGAAGGAGGCAGGCTGTCCAAGGCTCCCATCTCTGTAATGTTGCACAAACAGAACAGACAGAACATCAATACTGAGACATAATAGGCAGAAAGTTGTTTTTCATTTTATCATACCTCTGTTTGTTTGCACTCAGCAGACACTCTATTAGATTCACCTTGCTAACTGCCTTAATTCTTTGTGGCATTGAATCATCAAGGTATTATCCTGAGATTTTGGACATGACAAGAAAATTTTGACATGATTTTATCACATGAGGGATCTGGTGACTGTGGAGGCATTTGAGTTCAGTGAACTCATTGTCATGTTCAAGAAATCAGTTTGAGGTGAGTTTGTGAGATGGCACGCTATCCTGTTAGAGGATCAGTACACTGTTGGTAACATAGGGATGGACATGGTCATTAACAATATGATCAGTTGGTACCATTCTGCCAAGACATACAGCCTGAACCTTCAGCACAAGGCTGGATGGATTCACATTTTCATGTTGTAGATGCAGAATTCAACAGGCCAACTTGTGCATCACTGAGTTCCTGCAATGCAACTGGCTGATTAGAAATACTGCACTAGCAGTCAGTTGAACAGTCTCTGACATGGTAATAATACTATCAGTATACATGGCTATACAGGATCCCTGCCAGGTTTGATCTGATGATAAACTTGTATGTTTTATTGTATGATTAGATTAAACAATTTTCAATATTATCACACCTCTAGATGTCATAAAGTCAAATATGCAACATTACATTTTCACATTTAGTTTTGTGCATGGGGTAATTTGTGTGCTAATTCAATAGAAAATGAAGATTCTATCACTGAAAGAATATTTCCATGTTTAACAAATGGACCGATATATAGACCTGAAAAAGTTCGCTAATCAAACTTTGGTGTGCTTTTAAGAGTTTGTCGTTGCAGTGACTTCTGTATGCAGACCTGTATTATTTTGTTCATGAACTCCCCTCGCTTTCAAATAAGTGAGAAGCATACCTTTAAGTTTGAGGTATGACAAGAAGTCAATGACAGTGTGGATAATTTCTTCATCTGCTATTCTCAGGGCGCCTGTGGAGGTACAGCAAGAATGACAGGTTGAAATGGCAGGAGCTCTGATATACACAGATCATACAGAGAAATGAAATTCTCTCAGATACTAAGGTTTACAATACAAGTAGGAGTATTAGATTTAAACAAAGCATCAGTTGTGAACTCATGAACAAAGGTTAATGGGAATGAAACATGAAGGCTACTGAATTCCATACAAAGTAGATGTGTCTATGCTTTCTTTAAAAAAAAACAAAAACGTAAAAATGTAAAACATTTCACCTTCCAATGATCCTAGTTTGACTAGCCCTCACACTCTGTGATTATTGCTTTCAGCCTTAGTCCCTTGCAGTGGAAATGTTTCGCTGCTGAAAACCAGTGAAGATTTCTACAACAGTAATTTAAAGGCTTGATGAATGGAAAATCTTTATGACACTTTATGACGCGGTGAAAGGAGAGAGATCGCTTTAATTTTGGTATGCTTTAAAAGATGTCTTTTTTTTTTTAGATTAAATGGTACAAGCACTGCTTGTCTTATTTTTGCTGTTATTTGTTTTTGTTAGATTTCTTTATTCAGCGTTTTAGATAAATGATCATAAAGCACATAAAACATTTCCAGAGTTTCCAAAATATAAACTAGCATTTTTTTGTAAAAGACACAAAATATTAAATAATACATCAATAAATAATCTGGGGTATTATTTTGTTTAGGAACTTGAGGCTTTATTGCACTGTTTTCCTTTAAAATATATGTGGCTCCTCTTCTTTTGGGCTATTTAAAGGACTTAAATGACTACAAGTTCCTATTTTCTTCAAGGCATTTTAGGTCTCCCCTCTACCATCTCCTTCCTCAGTGTTCCTTATACATTAAAGGTGGCTAATCAACATGACAGCTATACATAAAACAGTAATAAAAGCAAAACATTCAGTATATCAAATTAAATTAACCAAGAAGATACATCATAAAATACCTTTTGATTATTGTTAAATAACACTTGAAATAAAATATCTTCTTTAAGAGGAAGAAAGATTGTCGTGTTTCTTTGTGAGACATACAGACCTGTTCTGAAGTCCTCCTCCTGGCCTATGTCCCTCTTCCCAGCCAGACCCGGCTTGTCTCCTAGTCTCGTGTGTCCATGTAGTCCATCTAGTCCATCTGGATAATGAGGAGTGATCGCAGTTGATGCGCTCATACAAACATCAGATGGCCCAACTAAGCATTTAATTAGTTCATTCCCATTATCAGCTCAGTTCACTAGAAATTCAGCAATTTTAACATTTTGGTAAATGTGATTTATGTGTAATTTTCATGTACTTACAATAATAATAATCCTTTTCAGCTGCTTAATTTTTTAATATACTGGCTGTGACATTTAATTTTCTGTTTGATTAAGGTGAAAATGACAATTGACAAAGTAAAAATAATATGGAGTAAATGGTTAAAGTTTTGTGTATGTAACAGAAAATACGTACAAATATCCCACTGGTTTAGAGGCATCATACAACAGACACACACACATACACAGTGCACACCGCTACCTGATTCCTGTAAGAAGTTCTAAAGGACATTGTTCACACGTCACACAGTTTCAGCATGATATTTGGTTTGTAATTGTTTGGTTCACTTTCCAAACTCGTACAGACCACCTGCAGGGCTTGGCTCATGGAATTGCAGTAAGTAGAGGTTTGATGGAAGGAATAGAAAAAGCACACTTGTTGAACGGCAGTTTTAACAGACAAGTAAATGCACTGAAACAATAGTGATGATGAAAATCAACATAAAATAACAGGCAAGCAGAGGGTTTTACTTAGCCATGGTAGTGTGCTGTAGACTGTCGGTGTGTCTCCACATTTACATTTTAATTTGTTTTTTATGTGCCTAAAGAGCAGGTTGAGGTAGCATGTGCAGAGTTCAGTGGCCTCCGGTTAAAATTGTAAATTAAAAATATTTGCATTTCCTTTTTTTAATTTGCTTTAATTACTAATCATACTCTTCCCAATTCCAATAATAACGGTAACTGTACTATTGTACTACATAGTATTCTTAAGCTAGACCAATAATTAAAAATGTTATTGTGATATTTTGAAATTAAAGAACAGACAGCAACCTGACTGAGATTTGTAGTTTAACATGTGAAGCTCACATGAGTTGAATTTATTATATCGGCTCATATTTGTATTTGAAGAATGGAAAACATGTACAGTATCAGGCCAGTTTGTCTCACTTTGCAACATTACTCACCAGCTACGTGTTGTTATAGTGAGCCCACATACTTCAGTGCTGTCATTTACTCTGAGTGATTTTTACATGTGACAATTGTTTGACTCTAATTGGGGGCTTCGTCATTAGCTAAAGTAGTCCTTGAACTAATACCCCCTGTTCTCTTTGTGTGCTTTTAAAAGTCTAGCTAAAGTTTTACATGTGAGACCCTGGCATGAAAAAATAAGGTATTTTAATGATGTTTGCCATCCAGGGTAAAAAGGTCCTATTGGATCTACCTTGTGTTTTGATCTTTACATACAATCTTTTATCAGCAAATTGTTAATAAAATAAATTGGTAGCATGACTTGAAAATATTTTTGATAATATTAAAAAATGTAAAACTTCTAAATTAAGTTACTGGGCTATCAGCTCTTTGTCAGCTGTACTGCTATTTCGGATATCACAGTGAAAACTCTGTGTTAGTCAGTGCTACATCTTCTCTGCAGTGAACGTGACGATAGTCTTCTAAACGATCGTATTTTCTTCCCATTCTGTCAACACGATGCATCTGGAGTGTAATCCTCCAAAGTCTCAAAAATGCTGTATGCTAAACCTTCCTTAACTCATTCTTGAGGTCATCAATGCGTTACTTGGCTCAAAGCACAGACAGAATTGCAACATTTGTATACATAAGCAAAGAAACAAAAGCAGCTAAAAGGTGTGATGTTTAAACAAAGCAATTCCTGGTGACCCCAAGGCCCTGCAGCAGCTGTATGTTTCTATCTTACATTGAGTGACCAGCTCGTCTCTGCCTCTGGCACTGGGAGAATCCTTTATCTGAATTAGGTGATCAATACGACCTGAAACACAGGATGAGGCAGGAGCAACCTTTACCTGGGCTTCACACGCACACACACGCACACAACAAAACACACACACACACACACACACACACACACACACACACATGCACACAAAGGGACAACATTCTTCAGGGTTCCTGCCCTGGAATGACTCAAACTCCAGCTGGTAAGAATATATACCTTGACACACAAAACTGGATACCCAACAGTCACTCATGATAATCTTTAAATAACACTAAATTAGCATTGGGCCATTTCACCACATACTATTAATGAGGCTTTTGTAAACAACGTTACTGGAACAACCACAAAACAATATGCGCTGGTGTGTGCATGTAAGCTTCTGTGTGTGTGTGCGTGCATGTGTGTGTGTGTGTGTGTGTGTGTGTGTGTGTGTACACTTACGGGGCCCTAACAAGTAGCCAGCGCTGTTCATAGTCCAGCCTCGCTTTTCTTTTGCCTGCAAGATGTAAAGATGGATACAATAAGCAGCTAAAGGACAAGGAGACAGTTTTAATGAGTTTTTGATGTGTAAATCTAAGAACATTTTTCTTAAATGTAAAACATCCTTATTGTCATGGTCTGTAGGCTTGTCATATGCCTGCAGGGAGTTTGTGTATTTTACTTTCCTAGTAAATTTCTGAATATGTTTTTTTCCCCCTTAGTTTTCTTACATGTGGATTCTTAATGTGGGTTTATTTAGGGTCTCTTGGAAATCATGGAATCATGGGTTGGTTCCTTGAATTGAATTTAACCTCACCTGCATCTTTGTGTTACATGTTGTAGCGTCTGCTATTGGGAAGTTTGAGCTCTTGGATTTGGTCATGGTCTGTATGGTTTCATTGTGAATCTGTGATTTTAGCTTGTTTTGTCTTCATTCACTTGAAGATTTGAACTTTTTACTACTAATATACTCACATATACACATTTTATTTTTGTGATTGGCTGCTTAAAAATTTTGTTGTAAACTAAAATAGATTACTTTATAATGATATTTGATATCATTTTGACATTTCTATTAGTCTCTGTTGTCTTTATGTCTTTATTGGTACATTGATTCTTGGCACCTAAATTTAAGTGGGAGGTTAACATTAAGGTTGTACTGAATTTTGAACTGCTTACCGCAACAACTAGCCCGATGGTCTCGGAAAGAGTTGCACAAAAGATGAGCGACATGCAAAATATCCCAAAGCCCCTCTGCATCTGAGAAAGAAAAAAACACAATATTAACATGACAACAAAACTATTTGAAAGCATGCCTTTAAAGGCTACAAAAACTGTAACTTACCTTTGATGTGACTTCCTTCAGTCTGGTTCACGTTGCAGTCAGCAGCAGAAGTTGCCTGGCGTGTGGAGCACTGGATGAAAAGCGGACTCCAGCCACCTTTTATTGTGATTTCAGCCCGACCCTCCTGCTCTCTTTTCACGTCAGCAGCCCCTCCTGCACACAGCATGGGCAGGTCACGAACAGAACGCATTATGAAATTCAATAATATCACATAATGCTATCATCAGATTTTCTTTGTTGCCCTCAGAGACTAGGCATTGAATTGCTGTATTTTTCTGTCCTAATCTGATATGCGGCTGTGACTGCTTATTGCACGAGCTTCATGTACAGGCGGTCAATAAAAAAATCTACTTGCCAGTTTTTCAGGATTTGTTGTCATTTTTTTTAATTTCATGAAAAAATTCATCTTTGTTGCTCTCACTGCTTTTAGGTCTGATTTTATGAAGCACTTAATTTTGACAAATTATATTTTAACAGAGCAGTAGTGCCGATTTATTAAAGGTATAAAAATAATAACAACCTGCAACGGCGTTTACAGTCATGCCATTTACAGTCCAAAGTAAAGTCACAACCCAAAGGATTTACAAAGAGTGTAGTGAGCAGAAGTGTACGAGTAGATCACTTCTAAGGATGTTTCAGCCTTAGTGTGTCACAGTTATAATTTACATTTACCTCGGAGTCATTGAAAGTCATGTCCCTTGCAAATAAGAATCTTTGTTTGCACTGTTGTTAAGTTATCCTGTAACAACAGTGTTCTGCAAAGCTCACCATATGTTGTCCATGCTCTGAAACCCGTGTAGATGTCATTTTTCTTTTATTATAATTTTATTTTGTAAAGCTGTTATAAAGAGTCTCCATCAAATCAATAAAGGAATATAACGTAAGGAAGAAGAAAGAAGATCAATAACACTGAAAATCTTTTTACACAATAATTCTTCATTTGGCTGCATCAGGGTTTGATTTAAGCACAGGTTCAGTTTTTCTTTATAGATCAGGGTAGCAGTTTATACGCCCTGCAGCAGATACAGGAGCCATCCTTGCCTCTCTCTTTCTTTTTAAATGACCTTGCAAATGACGAAATGTCCATATTAAAGAACAGAAACAGACAAAAAGTTTACATGAAAAAATATTTCATGTAAACTGATAATAACTTGATATGAAATTGACTCACTAAATTCGCCATGTCAGGTTAGTTCAAAACATTATTATGCTTTTAAAACTTATTTTGCAGATTTTTTTTTAATAGTAATTTTTAATTAAATAGTTGATTAATTGCCTTTTGTTTGTTTTTTGCTGTTCACTAATGCAAAGGTGAAAGTGTACTTAGAGTATAGGAGTTTTTGTAAAGGTTTGTGACTTGAAGGTTTTCTCAGCTTTTTCCTGTCTAACATCTAACTGGAAATCCTTTCCAGATGTGGGTAAGAATACACTCGATTTTTAAAAAACAAGCTTAAACCATTCATCTCCTATATCCCGTTGGAACTCTTTGCATCCCACTGTTCTGAATTCATATATAAATGTGTCCTGTTTGTATTGTGCAGCAACACGTTGACAAGAAACTTCTTTTGTTAAACAGGGTAATATTTCTTTTTTAAGAAAATGCCCCGTTCATTCTCCTTATTCTCCTGGCCTTGGTCAGCAGTTAGAATAATTAAATATCAAATAATTAAATAGCTCAGCTGCTGGTAAAATCTCTGTGTATTAAATTAAATTCATAATGATGTCTGCATCAATCGATATTACTCATGTCATGGACATTTTTCATATTCTTAGTGTCAATTAATACAAAATATCCTACATGATCCAGTGTGATATAGTTCTGCTCAGTTACAGCCAAAATATTCTTCAGTAAGCCGCTGTGCTATTTTGCTCATTGGACCTGTGTAAGGCTCCACTGAAGCGCTGCAATTAGACTCATTTTTAAAGCATTCAATTTGTTTGCTTTGCAGAGATGTGCCTTGGGAAGAAAATAAACGGATGGGATTAAAATATATTTTGTTTTGTTTTTAATTAGTATCAGAGTAAGAATTCCTTCCAGCGTGGAGTCTAAGCATCATCTCCACTGGGCCCCACTTGAAAAGAAACATTGTTTCAATTTCACAGTTTTAGTCTTTAATGTGTGCTAATCATTCTGGCTTTCATTGCTGTTTAAGGAAGACGAACCTGATCTTCTATCTCATTATACTACAAATAAGAAGGTACATATTAAATAACATCAAATTCTCTTACAGTTATGTGGAAGACAATCTAGGTATCTAGGCAATTGAGACAGTAGATATGCAGGGCTGTACACTGCCAAAACATGAAAAAAATCCAGTATTACTATTTTGTAAGCACTGATCAAGACATAGACACACAGCATCTGGAGTGTGCTTTGGTGCATTGGTAGCTGAGATGTAGATCCTTTGTGTTGCAGGGTGAGGCCTTGGTCTTGTGCCACATCCTGTGGGTGCTTGTTCTGATTAATATCTGGGAAGTTTGGGGCAGGATTAATGCCTTGAACTTGGAAAAAACTTCTTGAAGTTAAACTTTTATTTGTTTGAGATGTTTCAGTGATTAATACCATCTGTATATGAATGTTTACTATACCTCTTGGCTAGCTTGGGAACACTCTGGTATTCCCCTACAAAAGCTGGGAAGAGTGCCTGAGGAGAGAATGAAAGCAGTAGGGATCTCACACACTATTACACATCAAACTTTGGATGGGACCTTCCTGGAATTGAGACAGGTTGCACCTTTTAAGGTCAATAGTATCAGGCAAAATCATCAGTATTACCAGAATCGGGGCACCTGGTGATTATGATGGAGCAGAAACACAGTGGGACATGATCAAAGGAGAAATGGAAGGGAATCTAACATGTCAAATCAAAAGGGAAGCAACACTGAAAGGACAGAATATAGTGAGTATGTTAAAGTGAGAGGGTGAGAAAAAGGGAAAAAAAACATGAAAAAGATGTTTTAGGATTTACATACTGGACGGCACCATTGTTTCAGTCAGGAACTAATGTGCTCTTTAACTCAAGTTCATAGATAGTCAGGTCCCTATGGAAATAAAAGCATGAAGGTCTTATTGCATCTGTTTCATTTATTATTTTAGTAAGTGAATTGTCTTTTGAGGACCTTAACATGCTCAAAAACTAATGAAATTTTGCACATACGTCAGGTCTGGTGAAAATTTATGTATTGTATTGGTTTGGCACATGCACGATTCAAAATGGCTCCCGAGCCATAATGAAGCTATAATGAAGTGTTACAGATTACACATGTGTAACATGCAAATGACAGACAAAAATATGTGTATGGCCTTATTTACCCAAACGCAACAGGAAGTCAGACATTTTGAATTGAAAATGGCTATTTTATCATTTCCATGCTTTTGCAAACTGCTCTTAGGGATTTTCTCAACACAGTCTAACTAACACAATCCCCACAGATACAGTGGGGATGAGTTAATGTGGTTATCCCAGCTGGATATTTGGATTGGCTGGGAAGGCACCTAAAGAAAGCTCCAGCTGAGCCAGGAGAGAAGGACAACTGCCGCCTCGGCGAAAACCCTTAGTGATCCCGTATGTGTCAGGAGTATCAGAACAGCTGATGCATTCTTTCCAGTTCCATAGCTCTCTTCAATAAATGTTGCAAACTGACTCCACAGCGCCACGTAAAATCTTTTAGAAAGCAGCCCCTGTATTATGTTTGATCCGAGTCTGAAATTTGGCAGCCTTCTGTAATATCTTAAGATGCACAAAAAAGTCTCTTGGACTCATATCCTAAATCCAACAGGTAATCAGGCATTTTGAATTTAATGTGTACATTTCGCAGCATTGTTAAAGCCTTAGGCTTTAAAAACAGGCACAATTCTGTCATAGAAATCAATGGACGAACACATAGTGGAAAACTTTTCTAAGGTCAGATTAACTGAAATTTGAAATTCTTTGGAGAAAAACTGCATGCCAAATCTTCTGGAATGAAGAGGAGCGGGGCCATCTGCATGACTAGGTGGCTGATTATATATAGCTGTGGCCATGGAAGTGATTGGAAAACCGGAATTAAATAATTTGAATGGGTGAGTGAATACTTTTTGTAATAGCGTGTCTTGGCTTTATTATACACTACCAGTCAAAGGTTTCTCGTTCAATGTTTTGTCTTTATTTTTACTACTTTCTACATTGTAGATACAAACAGAAGACATCAAATATGTGAAGCAAGATATATGGAATTATGTAGCAAAGAAAACATTGATAAATAACTAAATATGTTTTATATTTTAGATTCCTGAAAGTAGCCACCCCCTGCTTTGTTGACAGCACTATACAAACCCTTCCCTTTTCTCAATGAGCTTCATGATGTAGTCACCTGAAATGGTTTTCACGACACAGGTGTCTTGTCAGCGTTCATTTGTGGAATGTGTTGCCTTCTTAATGGGGTTGGGACTATCAGTTGTGTTGTGCAGAAGTCAGCTGACAGGCTTATTTAACAACTGTTAGAATTCATATTATGACAAGAACCAATCAGCAAAGTAAAGAGAAATGACAGCCCATCATTACTTGAAGAACTGAAGGTCAGTCAGTCTGGAAAATTGCTAAAACTTTGAATGTGTCCCCAAGTGCAGTCGCAAAAACCATTAAGCCAGTTTTGTACAATAAAACTGGCTCACATGTGGACCACTCCAGGAAAAGGAAGACCAAGAGTCACCCCTGCTGCTGAGGATAAATTCATCTGAGTCGCCAGCCTCAGAAATCACAAGTTAACAGCACCTCAGGTTAGAGCCCAGATAAATGCCACACCGAGTTCCAGTAGCAGACTCATCTCTACATCCACTCTTCAGAGGAGACTGCACGAATCAGCCCTTTAGGGTCAAATAGCTGCTAAGAAACCACTACTAAGGAAAAGCAACAAGCAGAAGAGATTTGTTTGGGCCAAGAAACACAAGGAATGGACATTAGACCAGTGGAAATCTGTGCTTTGGTCTGATGAGTCCAAATTTGAGATCTTTGGTTCCACCCGCCGTGTCTTTGTGCAACACAGAAAAGGTGAACAGATATTCTCTACATGCATGGTTCCCACAGTG